GAAAATTTTGAAAAATGAACCTTCTGAAATGGCATTTCCTGCGTTTTTGAGAGGATTTCAAAGAAAAAAAATCAGAGATGACTTTTTATTCAACGACAAAGTAGGCGGTTTTATACGATTCCAGCCCCGCTGGTGATACGAATCAGTCCATCTAAAGAAAAATCTTGGACCTTTAGATAAAAAGTGGACCAAAAAGTGGGGGGTTCTTCCCCCTGGCTACGGGCACTTTTTAGCGCTTCAAGGCTTCCTCAAGCGGCGGATGGTGGATTTCGATCGAGTGCTGGCGGGCTTTTTTCCGCGAGATGGATCGGCGGCGTTTTTTTTTAGCTTCCGCCACTTGTTGAGCAGTGCTGCCCAGCGAGCCTGCTGGCCTTTCACCGAACTCCGCGGCGGCAGGTCTCGGTCGGACGGAGACTCGGCGCGATCTTGCGGAGGGTGTTTCCCACTGACCGGTTGGTCATCTGCGTCAATACACCAGAAAATAGCTTCATCAGGTTGGTAAGGTATAGGATACTTTTCTTTTACACAACCAAGATAGTTACCTTGCTGGGACTATCTTTCAGACCGTGAAATTGCAACATTATGTAACCCAACTAGCTTCATCAGGTTGGTAAGGTATAGGATACAATGAAGATTTTTCTTTTACACAACCAAGATAGTTACCTTGCTGGGACTAACTATCTTTTAGACCGTGAAATTGCAACATTATGTAACCCAACACCAGTCACCGTGGTGACAGACGTCAACAAATCATGTCATTGGTCAGGTCAGAGATCACTGTTTGGAGAAGAAGAAGAAGGAGAGGAAGAAACTGAGAAAAGACAATATGTTTTCCTTTGGTAAACATAATAATTTTGAAGTTATGTGCATGTTACATGTATGTATATGTTACTTAAGACTCCAGGAAGAGTAGTGAAGTCATGTATGTCTCGCCAAAACACAATTACTAAAAACAACTGGATAACATTTGAAAGCGTCAGACGTTTCAGACTCTATCCAGAATCTTTAAGTAGTCATTGACTAATTATAAGGATCCCAATGAGCCACAGGATTTAAACACGGACATGAATTGATGTGTAAATGAGTTAAGACGAATTTTAGAAAGTCTAATAATAGGAATCAAGATTGAAGAAACAATGTGTTGACAATTTAGGGTGGCAAAGACGATGTTGATGCTAATTAGCTCTTGTTGGAGTTTATACACTAAGTATGTACTATCACTAATTGAGGTCTTTGAAACAGTATTAAAACAGTACCTGCTATAGGTGGCATTTCTGGCACATGCTCGGTAGCTGGTCGGCGGGATGCTGGTGGTGGTAAGAAGTTGCCGATAGCTGGGAATTTAGTATCCGATGACCGTTCATTCGCATTCGACTGGATGCCTTCATACGATGGAATGTTAGCTTTTCCGATGACATTCGGTATAATGTCCCTGCTGTCGCTTTCACCATCATCACCTGTACTTTCCTTGGCTCGCTCCATAGCCTGTTCCTTGGCTCGCTCCATAGCCTGTTCCTTGGCTCGCTCCATAGCCTCTTCCTTGGCTCGCTCCATAGCCTCTTCCTTGGCTCGCTCGATAGCCTGTTCCTTGGCTCGCTCCATAGCCTCTTCCTTGGCTCGCTCCATAGCCTCTTCCTTGGCTCGCTCGATAGCCTCATTCAATTCGCTATCGTCATTCAGATCAGTGCTGTAGTCTGCATCCATCGGACGAGAGCCCTTAAGTCCATTGCTTGATTCCAAGTCCAACGTGGAAGACGAAGAAAAAAGGTACTGATGTACTGTAGAGATGACATCTTTAATAGCTTCCACAAGAGTATCCTTGCCAGAAATCTGTACAACCGAGTTCACGTCCTCATTCACGTCCTCATTCACGTCCTCATTCAC